AAAATGAAAGAAAATTAGGAGCCATGCCAATATAACATGAGAATTGTTTAAGATTGTCGATAAACATACTGAACCTTTTTAACAATAAACGACTATTAAACGTACTGAACCTTTTCAAAACCAGCCCTATAATCTAGAGAATATTTGGCAACATTTATAAAAAATTGCATTTAAAAATGGTCATATCATGGATGATTGTCATCAATCACAAGCAAGATTTTCGGGTTTTCTTGATGATAGTTAAAGGAATTAGGCAAAGATATAGGTGAACTTGTTCAAAAGCCCCTGCAGTTTTGCTTTTACTGGTGTTTTCTACCTAATATTTCAGTTTGGAATATACATGAATAAATAATGAGTTATCACAAAACTAGAATACATAATAAGAGACAAGGGTGTAGGTGAATTTAGAAAGTTTTGCTTAGTATCAGGATTGAAAAAATAAATTTTTTTCAGAAATATCATGGCTCTAATATCACATAAGTAGTATAACATTTTGTAGTTCCAAAGTCGTCCATTCTAGATTAAAAAAATATTGCTGTCCCCAATTTCACAACAAGTCTATTTCATGAAATTTTGGACTTCAACAGTTCAGTATCATCCTCATGCAGTCCTGCTAATATATTTAATCACAATTAAGAATTGCACCCAAAACATTACATTAACAATCACAGAACTGCAGTCATGCTCATGCATAGTGGCAAATTGGAGATTTTTTAGAATCAGTTCATTTTTAATTTCCTAATTTACTCAATATTTTGGTCAATTTTTATGCATGATAATACTGGTAGCTAAGATATTTGCTAGTCTACTTTTAGGACTAAAAAATAAACTTGAGGAAAGGCAAAAAAAATGTTCTCCTTTGCAAATTGCTATTTGCTACTACATTATGAATGTTCTTCTCCTTTGTTAGACTGTCAGACTGCATTGTTTCTTCAAGAAAAATGTTGAAACTATATTATCACATACTTAAACAAGTCCCAAGTCCTAATTTAAGAAAAATTTTCTTGTTTCTACTTATGGGATAAAATCAGTGATTTGGCCTTATGGCCTAATATGTAAGCATGGCATAGCAAATGTATTTGTGATTTGGTAAATGAGTTTGCTGCTTGAAAAGAGCTGTGAATAGCATAAAAAAATGTATGGCTAAGAAAGGCCTGAAAATACAAGAATTATTGGCTCCAAAAATTCTGTAGCAGGCCTGAATAGTAGATGATTTTTACACTAGCTAGCTAATTTAGAATATTGGCAAAATGTTTCCTAAAATTTCAGGTAAAAATTATTGCTTTACTAATAATTTCTAATGACTGTAGGTAAAAATAGGGTGATTTTCTTATTTTACACTAAAGAACTGGGAAAAGACTATAGGAATGGTTAAAATTGGCCACATTAATGGGCCTTATTTGTCTGCCGCTGCCCTAGTTATGTTTAAGGCTTCTGTCTAATTTTCTACTTTAGGTACACTAGGTAGGTCAATAAGTCTTTGTTATACATATGTGGTCATTGCCTGATTTTGCCTCATACTCTCATTGTCCATTGACTTGATTGAGGAATACCTAATATGAGCCTACGCCCTACGGGCTACGAGGTTTTCAAACCTTTCAACTGTAATTTCTATTTTACAATTTATTGTCCTAAATAATATTACTTGGATTTAGTAAGGAGGAGAAAGTAAACCATAGCTGCATGCAGCATGCCTGTGTCCCATCTGGCTGGCTGAGCCTGGCTCTACCCTCTTAAAATTATAGAGACAAAAATAATAGTAAATGAACAAAATTATTATCAACGTAGTGAAGCTAGGCTCGATAAATAAATAAAAACGTTTTTTCAGTTCAATATAGTAATAGTATTAATGAATCGGGGTTAGAGATTGTTATAGATATCGTAATTATATGCGTACGGAGACGTTGAGTTAGTGGTATGCCAAATACCAATTCCAGATTTCCAGGTCATGGCACAAGGCTAGTCGCTAGCTACTATAACTTTTCTTTGGTGAAAACACAACGCTTTACGCGCTGACCTCGGATCCGGATTCCGGATGACCTCTGTGGCAACTAATTTTAGTTTCCGCAACAAAGGGAAAAAAAGTTTTTTTTTTCAAAACATAAAATTGACAAATGACTGAAAATAAATACCAAATTGTGAGAAGATCGAAGTACTCGTGAAGTCTGGTATTTTGGTTCCACTATTATGCCCAAACGAAATTTTTACTTACGATCCGTGTTCATTTAAGTAAATTCACTTGAGAATGCTTCATTTGGAATTGATCACATATTTTACCTGTACTTGTGAAGAAATTTGTCATATTAAAGCCAATGTGTTAATTCAATGAACTGGGGTATTTTTAGAAAACAACGTTGTCGGGAGGATGCGCGAAAGACTGCTTATAAGCATCATGAAATAATCAAACCCATAATAACATTCATTTTCGTCAATACGGGACGGTTCTTGATTTGCGCATTAGTATGAATCCTACTCAAAATTCGAAATTCACGAATATTTTAAATCGAAGGTAAAAGGGAACTAAAAATAAGAGCACAATATTATGCTTTGACTGTCACACATGCACGAGTCTTGCATTGAATAAGCATAAACATGACATGAATGTATCATGCGAATGCATTACACTGAATCTTCTGTACGAATAAAGTTTTCTTTGCCGTCGCAAGGGTGCAGAACGTCTCGTTCACCGAGGCTCGTGTAACGCCCGCCAGAAATAGCGATGATGTCACCCACGACAGCATCCATACCTTCTCAGCTCACAACTCGCAAAGTACATCCAAAAATACCGACCTGCAACCTTACTCGACAAAAAAGTATGTGATTGTGAAGCTATGAAAAACTACGAGCCTGATGAGATGAGGTTTCATAGAAAATTCAAACAGCTAAAATACGTGAACCCTTTTCTGCACAAGTGATGAAAGCGATCAAGTATAATTGTTGATGGCAAGAGGTTCAGAGTGCCGGCATTGAGTGCGAAAATCGCTGGCGTAACAGGTTGGCAAATATCGATTAAACGGCATTTTTGCTTCATTTACTCATGTGGTAGTACTCAGAGCTCATTGATACGAAAGAGTAAGGCGAGGCACGACCATAAGACACCCCACCAAGCTTGAAACTATTTAATCGCGTACACCCAACCCTACTGCTCACGCCACCACCGTCGTCATCACAACCATCCTCTTCGCTGGGTTCTGCTACGCCAGCAGAAGTTGGGGGGATTACAACGTGGGCTATAACGATGCTAAGTTACCCATTGCTAGTGTAACGATGCAAAATCAACCGACCGGTTGAGTTACTGGGTTGGTTGATTATAATGACGTTTAGCCAACCATGAACAGTTGAGTTACCGCCGTCTAGATATTAATGAAACTAAGCCAACCCAGGAAAAATTGCGTTTACGTCTGCATTATAATGGCGCGCAGCCAGCCATGAATAGTTGAGTTACCGTCTGCATTGTAATGGCTCTAAGCCAACCAAGAATAATTGAGTTACCGTCTGCATTGTAATAACTCTAAGCCAGCCATGAATAGTCGAGTTACCGTCTGCATTGTAGGATGTAGGTAGGATTCCTTACATTAAGTTATTATGTACTAATATGTAGGTGGGATTTCTTTTATTTCCCTTCTCTGTCTCTCTCGTGCGGGCGGCCGACGTCCCGTGTAAGCGACCTGTTGTTCGAGTGTCTTAGTTTCTGTTGCTTTTCACCTGTTCCTCCTTGTCACTTCGCCTCTTTGAGATGCTAACGCTGCTTCTTTCGCGCCAGCTTCAGCGGGCTGGACATCTGAGACCTTCCGCACCTTGTGGGTAAGGATTAATACGAGATTTTTAATAATTGAGGCCTTCCGTTTCACTGGCGACGCTTTCTCTTTTGACCTCCGCTGCGAAATAGCTTGATAGCTGAAGCGTTAGCAAACCATTCTACTACTAATTAAACCATTGGTCCACTCGCTGCCTCCTTCGCGTCACGTCAAGAAACATGAGTATTGAGTGACTGCCTGGGAACTTGATCCAATGTTAACGAACCTTACATTAGTTCTTAATTAGAACAAGCTCACACACGTCTGTAACATATGATCCCTTGAACGATCAGGGTTTTGTTTTCAAGCAAAAACACAAAATATGATGCATAATCCAGATAAGGATAGCGTAAACCACTCAAAACCACTTCTTTTCTTTAAGTGTAATAGTGGAATCAGAAACCACTTGAATAACTTGTAAAATATTTCTTTAGCAAGAAGAGAGTCAGCTTATCAACAAGCCATAAGCCATGGCCAGACAGCAGCATAAAAGGCTTGTCGTGCAAGGCTGACAGGTTCATCCGATCATCACGCTCAGGTTGCGCAGTTTCACGCGATGCCTTGTTGCTGCTAAACATGCAGTGGGCCGTCATGAGTGTACATGATGGATCTTCGCAGCTTAAATAAGGTTTTGAACTTTATTTACACTGGCCAACTTTCAAAGACATTCACGTTTATACAGGGTAAACGGTAAGCAGGTAATCATTATTGGTCGAAATATTACTCATCGGCAGGAATTTGTTGTAGTTATCTCAAGACTGTAGCTCGACTTTTTTTTTCAAATGTTGGAATGAGACCATTTTCAATGTAACTTAATTTCAAAATGATCTCATTCCAGCATTTATTCAATACTAATGAGATAAAATAAAAAATAGCCTAAATGTTGATTAAATCATGAGAATGGTTACGCAATTCCCAGAAAATTGCACTACAAAGACTTTTCCTTTATATGTATTTCCTTGACATGTATGTATTTCCTTGACAGCAGCTATCTCAATCAATTGTCAGTTATGGAAAGATCGGGTTCCAAAGGCCGGATCCCTTGTGAATCAAGTCACGAAAAGTTCAAGAATCGGCAACAGGCCATGGGCCTATGTCTTCAACGCCGACACTTCTATTCTATTCTATTCTAAAACGCATATCCTAACTACACGATACTCAATACTTTATACATTTCTTGAAAGCAATAAAACCACACAAAAAATCTGCCCAAGTTTACTCCAAAGGCTCAAAGCGCCAAATAAACTCTGGAACTGGCAGCATAGAATGAACTTTTTAGGTCAAGGGATCAACAGATTTAATGACACTTCGTTATTGCCGACACTCTGGAAGAAGTCAGTTGTGAGATGTCTGAAGTGCACATCACACAAAACTAGTACCAGGTATTAGTCCAGTATCATTGGTGGCAAGAGCTTCATTCACTCTGGAAGCATAACAAGCTTGTATATATAACTTTCTTAACGACAAGGCCAAGTCAAAATTCCGACCCACAATCTTCCTCGTAATGCAGAAATGCGAAGAATTATAAACAATTTATCAACAAATATGAATTTATTACTCACTTTACAGAGAAAACAATTTGGTGGCATACAATATAGAAATGTGAAGTATGTATAGAAATGAAAATTAAAGACACCAAGTACGGACAAGACGCAGAACCTCAACAGGCCTTGAGCTTTCAACAAGGATTAACCTATGTAAAAATCTATCTGCTCAAAAAAATTAACAAAATAAAAATAACGAATAGATATGAAGAAAATAATAATTTCATCATAAAGAATCATTCTAAGAAAATCATTGTTAAAATAAGGAATAGGATTTATGAATGGAGGGTTCGTCACTTCTCCCTGCCATAGAAACCAACTCCTTCAAAGGGCATCCGTTCCTCAAAGTGATAGCGCAGAACAAAGTTTATTCAAATTACGAAATAACCACGAAAAAGGACAAAAAAATTAGATTTTATCCTTTAACGTCTATAGATTTTCTCCAAACCGCTTCATTCATTAATGTTCAATACCATAGGTTAAAATTCGAAAGATAAAGGGTAATAACTTTATAAAACAAGTAGCACCATCTGCCTAAAGTAGAGACAGCAAAGTTATCCCTGCAAGTCAGGGCCGTGGGAGCTGAGAGCAGCAGTTGTCATCAGTCGCTCAATGTCGTCGGGATGTCTAGCGCATGCGTCAGTGAGCAGCTCGTAGCCTGTGCTGGTAACAAGAACGTTGTCTTCTATCCTAATGCCGATGCCGTGATAACGTGCTGGTGCGTGAGGGCTGCCTTCCGGGATGTAAATACCTGCCCGAAATACACACTTTAATACAGAAATTGTAGTATCATTATTTTTCACTTACTGTTGTATGAATAATTTAATTCGTACTCATTCTACATAACTTTGTTAAGAAGTCTTTTGCACTTGGCATCATACTGATAATATAATTAAAACATAGGAAAATGCATACGCATCTCGCCATGACAAAAATTGTTAAAATAACAGACATAGGAGAAAAATATATTTATTTATTCATAGTATTACAAACCAGGCTCAACAGTGATGACGGAATTGGGCAGCACAGCGTGTCCCCGGGCTACGCAGGGCGTGTCGTGGACGTCCATGCCCAGGTAGTGGCTCACGTGGTGAGGGCAGAGAGCCATCGCCGTCTGCAGCAACGAGTCACACGTGTAAAAAATATACCTCAGGGCTCACTGTAGTGAGTGACAGAGAGCGCATTTTCTCGTCGACGATAACGTGAAGTCACGGACGGACGGACATGACGAGCACAATAGCGCCTTTTTTCCATATATGAGAAAATGCGCTAACAAAGCGATATTTATGTGTCTCGGATAGAAGTCAAACGTCTTACTGAGCCACGTCTCGAATGTAGCCGTGATACTCGCTACCTGTTAATGACTTTACTACTATATAAATAGTACGAAATCTTGAATTTGATGTCTTGTTTGGCAAGAAATGGCTGATACTGAAGAGGAAGCATTAGGTGTTGCCAAAGGGGGAGCAACCGCTGTTACTAAAATACAGTAATACATGCTACCAAATAGTAAGTTATTTGAAGAGACGATCTGATTTGGCCAGACACGATTGCTTGTGGCCGCTAGTCACACGTGCAGCGCTGAAGCGCGCAATGGAGCACACTAAAAGTCGCGATGAGAACTACTATAAATCTATACCAATTAGATCATGACTTCAACAATTATGATTACATGATAATAAGAATTTCCAAATCATAATCCAGTCTATGCGTTCGATTATTTCATAGTGGTACAATCGTCTAACACTGCTAAACAAATCTGCCAAATTTTCGTTCTTAACTTTGGAAAGTAGGTAATGGTTTTGTTCGGGGACACCAGAATTTATGAAGCAGTGATGTACGATTTCATTCAATAATATAGAAAGAAAAGCAACAAAAATGGCATTATCTTCACCAATTGAAGTTAATGATACGGGAAACATTCCTTTAAAGTGCCAACCTTAATCTTAGCATCATTTGAGAGATGTTTTGGCACAATGGCGAGCTCGGTGAGCACGGCAGCGAGCTGCTTGCACATTTCCCTGTAGAGCTCGTCTAGAGAAGGTCTCGTGTCCCGTAGAAGAACCAGCACTGAACTCTGCACGTGCAGCACAGCCTCGTACAGCTCGCGTTGAGCGCTAGTGAACTTCCCATTGACGGGCCACGTGCGAGACACGTCTCCACTGTAGCCGTGATACTCGCTACCTGAAAGTGTCATTATTATAGAAATATTACTAAAATAGTAAATAGTATGCTAATTATTATTGCAACAATCTTCACAAAAATTTTTAACATAACAGCAACAATTATGAATTACAGTTGTAAGGCACCAATACCCGATGCATATAGTCGGATGGAATTAGGTACATAAGAAGGAAATAATAGTATAATAACTAAACAGACCATAAATTAATACTTAAAAACAAGAGTCTGAGGTGACATTCCTGAACATGTAGGCATAAAGTGGACGTGATCGTGCATGTCATACCCGACTAAACATAAACTCAATCAATTCAGTACTACTTCTCTGGTCTATTTCATTGTGAATTTAGGCATGTCGCGAAAAAATTTGCATCAGCCTATTTGACCAAATTTATTGACTCGATGTTTATAGCTCCTAAAACAAATGCGATTCTTGCCATAAATAATTCAAGTTCCATACGTTCTCGATATCATAAATGTGCACGGCAGAACATACCAGCATCCATCAAAACCATCTCGCCGTCTTTGATGATTTGGTTATTGCTGATGAAATAAACAGTTCATACAAAGATATTTATTTTTAGCGCATTTTCTCATTTATGGAAAAAATGCACTATTGTGCTCGCCATGTCCGTCCGTCCGTCCGTCTGTCCGTGACCTCAAGTTTTCGTCCACGAGAAAATGCGCTCTCTGTCACTCACTGCAGTGAGTACTGAGTTATATTTTTTGAATTTATCAACGCTTTCATACTATCAGTAGTATCACAACTAAGCTAAGCTGAACTCACCAGCATCCATCAAGACCATCTCGCCGTCTTTGATGATTTGGTTGTTGCTGATGTAGTGTATAATGTTGGCGCGGGGGCCCCCTGCCACGACAGGAGGGTAGGCAAGATGGCAGGCACCCCGCATGCGGCTCTCAAAGTCCACGCGGGCAAACAGCTCGTGCTCTGACACGCCTGGTTGCGTCCACGCCATTGTGGCTTGCATTGCGTCCGCAGACAGTCTGAGGAATCGGCATGCAGTCAAATTATTCATGTCTTCTTACTATAAATATTGAAAGTAGTTTCTCCATAGATTGCATTGAAGCCTCATAATTTTACTATATAAAATCTGAACGTTAAGTAAAAATGTTGATTCAGAGTCAATGAAAATGAATAGTCACTCAGCAACATTCATAAACTTGTTATCCTTTGTTAAAATACTTCATTCAGCTTACAGAAAATTTAATTCAGGGAATAGTTAAAAACATCAATTTAATAGGACAGGAACTACACACATGAGACACAGTCAAGTTACCTACAGACCCGTTTCATCAGCCGCTGCTCAGCAGGGCTCTTCCTGAGTCTGAGAGCATGCAGGTGTGGCTTAGGAGACTCGAGCCCTGCAGAGCGTCCCTCTAGCAGCCACGGCTGCAGAAGGCGGTGGGTACTGTCACTGGGAGGATCTCGGTGTTGGTACCACAGCGTGGGTGAATTGAGGCTCTTCTCAAGCCCCGTCAGGTATGTAATAAGTTCACTCAGGGGCAGGCCCTCGTCCACTCCCCACACCTGAAGGAACATCTCATCATGACACAGAAGACAGAACCATAAGTGTAAGCTGTTCCAATGCCCAATTTTATCCATCCAAGTATTTAAAAATTTATTCAAATTATTTTCATAACTTAATGGCTGAATTTAAACAACATTCATAGTTATGCAAGTATAAAGCATTGAAAAGTACTATCCAATAAATATCTAGTTGTTAATAATAAAACACAATTTATGTGGTTCTGAGTGAAATGTGCAAGTTAATTTATAATAATTATCATGTATAAACCACTAACGTGAGGAGCATTTTCTGGCCGAGTACGGGGACCATCCCACAGTTCCTGTAAGGCAGCATGGGGTGGACAGAACATCACAGTGCGATGTGTCATGGAACTGCCACTGCTTGATGGCAGTGTGTGGACCAACAGCACACAGTCAGTCTCCTGGCAGCCACTGCACCACAGAAAATCTGTGTCCTGAGATGCAAACATAAAAGCATGAAAAAACACACATTGGCACCTATAAGAATAAGTTTATTATAGTACTGAGAAATCTGGATTGCTGGTTAGCTATTATTATTTTTGCACTTATGAAGAGAAATTTATCTCCCAAATTTAAATAAATAGATGAATTTTGTGGCTAAAGGAAACTATAAATGACCAATTCAGTGCAGACCTGTCTAAATAGGTAGGGAATTTTATCAATCATGTAACGCCTGGACGTTGCAGGCAACAGAAGCACATGATGAAGGCCCTCTTGTTGTCTCAGCCGCTCTATGACAAGAGATCTACGTTCTCTGTACTCTTCAACAGAGATCCCAACTGTCACCTGAAAAAGGAAATTACCATTAGGTTGGCTCAGAGAAATGAAAAATAAGAAGTCATAACATTAATTTAAAGGAGTTTAAGACTGGAAATCAAAGTAAGAGAAGATTGAATAAAAAGAATGAGAATTAAAAAAAATTAGAAATAGTGCCTTAAAGTTGTTCAACAGTTGGTGATGAACTGCTGATATAAAAAACATATGAATCACTAGTTTTTTTATGACAGCTGATAAGAAGTGAATTTAGCACAAAATGAATGGGATAGCTGTCATTAAAATAAACAGGTATGTTGGACTACAATTTAATTCAAGTTCAAACCGCCTCCTTGAAAAAGGTGTATGTCAAACAGCATCAGTCTTTAAATATTTAGGAAGAGGTCTTACTAAATTTTTGAACAAAACATCAATTTTTTAGCTAAAACTTGCAGTATATGTAGTTTTTAAGTCTGATTAACCTCATTCTGTTGCAGCAGATGTGGATGTGAAGAAGGAGTAGGCTGCCCGGCAGTTATATTTTTTGTCAAAGGTGCTTGTGTGCGTTCAAACTTTGAAGAGTTTGATGATGTCTGGCCTAAAGTTTTCCAGTTTGAAGTATCTTTGAGTTGTCCACTGGTAGAGTGAACTAAAGCAGTAGTTATTTTGATAGCATTTACAGGATGTCTTGCAATGTTCCAAGTCCTTATTAGGTGAGCACCCCATGATGATGTTACTGAAAAAAAAGCATTTCAAGGTTAACTTTGTATTGAGTGTCAATTCTGGAAAAAGATTTATCAAAATAATTTATTCAATTTCCACATACTTTGAAATTTTTTCAGGCTCCTAAGGTTCAAAGAATGACTATTTTATTTCAGGTATACTAGAACTGTGGAACAGTAAAAAATGTTATTGGTGCTATCCAATGTTTTCTTTGCTTGGAAAGGGGATATCTTCCAAGTTCCACACTTGCTTGAATTCTGAGCTAAACTGATCTGTAGGCAAACAATTAAATTCATACCTGATACTGGCAGTAATTTTAAATGGGTTTTGCTTGATATTGCACATAGCCAGACCCAGACTGCCAGACTGAGACTGTGCTTAGCAAAAGTTAAGAAAATTAATTTTATTTTAATTCTTATTTTAATTGTATTCCTTACCTTTTGATATTTTACCTGTGATTGCGCAGCTGCAAGACATTATGCATTAACAAAAAATTGAGTTCAAAAAATTTATTTGCAAACTGTTATATATAACCTGAAATCCTGAATCTGTCTGAGAAAAAATATGATAAATATCACAAGGTTTGAATAGATTTTGAAAACTAAGAGGGCATTGAGTAAAATTGGGCAGATAATTCTAACACAATATTAGCAACAATTGTATTATAAAATTCATAAGTAAAAGATGTTAGCATTGTCAGAACACTTGCAAACTTGAGACTTTTTGTTTTGGTTGATCTTCTAGTTCCAGTCTTCCCTTTTTGCTTTTTGAGTGCTTTAACTTACTAATAGTGGACCAGTAAACAGGAAAGTACCAATGTATCTTTGGGGTCACACTTAAAAGCTGAAGGCGCTGAAGTAGCTGAAGACGCTGAGGTGCGGGCGGAACATGTGGCGAATAATGGATCGATCAAATGCGGCGGAGAATTGGGCGATTCCGTAATTTTAGAAGCAGACACTGCAATAGCATATCACCAATAATATATATAACACTGGTGTCAAAAGAAATGAAAATCTTGAACCATAGCGTTTGAGGCAGATATACCCGTTCTCTGTTTAAACATGTTAAATGATTATTCACCTTTCATTTCAAGTGAAACCTGACGATCACTTCAGGTTTCACGTCTCGGACAAAAACGCGGCCTCTCTCACGCGTTTATCAAATGTCCGAAAATCTTTTCGCAGTTAATGTTTATGTGGATCACTTGCACAAAAAAAAAAACAATATTTTTGCCTGCCTGATCGCCTTTTCTCCCTACCTAACAATCAGTAATAGTTATTACATTTTTCCCTTTTCTTTTTCTAAGAGGGTCCTTTTCCATTGCGCACTTCTCATCCGTAGATTTTAAGGGCGAGGCTTGGCTCCTTGCAGAATTTGGAAGGACTAACGAAGAAGGAGAAAAAAAAATGGAGAACGAGACGCAGGCCTCTTGTAGTCTAATTAAAAGAAAGGATTGGAAAGGGAGGAGGAAAATAATAATGGCGTCGTGCGGGCGTTTTTGTCCGAGACGTGAAACCTGTCGTTATAAATAATCACTCCGCACTCGACCACAACATTTCGCACTCGCCAATAGTGCTAAGCGCAAAACGACATCTTACGGTTTAACTACTTCAACGCTTATATCTCAGAAAATATTCAACCCAGAGAGTGCGGAGTGATGAAATAACGTGAATCAATTACTTATTCAATAAGAGGGTCCTTTTCCATTGCGCACTTCTCATCCGTAGATTTTAAGGGCGAGGCTTGGCTCCTTGCAGAATTTGGAAGGACTAACGAAGAAGGAGAAAAAAAAAAAAAAATGGAGAACGAGACGCAGGCCTCTTGTAGTCTAATTAAAAGAAAGGATTGGAAAGGGAGGAGGAAAATAATAATGGCGTCGTGCGGGCGTTTTTGTCCGAGACGTGAAACCTGTCGTTATAAATAATCACTCCGCACTCGACCACAACATTTCGCACTCGCCAATAGTGCTAAGCGCAAAACGACATCTTACGGTTTAACTACTTCAACGCTTATATCTCAGAAAATATTCAACCCAGAGAGTGCGGAGTGATGAAATAACGTGAATCAATTACTTATTCACTGTAAATAATCACTCCGCACTCGACCACAACATTTAGCACTCGCCAATCGTGCTTAGCGCAAAACGACCTCTTACGGTTTAACTACTTCAAAGCTTATATCTCAGAAAATATTCAACCCAGAGAGTGCGGAGTGATGAAATAACGTGAATCAATTACCTATTCACTGTAAATAATCACTCCGCACTCGACCACAACATTTAGCACTCGCCAATAGTGCTTAGCACAAAACGACCTCTTACGGTTTAACTACTTCAACGCTTATATCTCAGAAAATATTCAACCCAGAGAGTGCGGAGTGATGAAATGAGGTGAATCAACCACAATCAACATTTTCGCGATACCAGTTGGTTTAACTCTTTATTCGTCATCGATTGCTATACCAAGCATTTCTGAATCATGTTTATGGTGTTATTTTCCGTAGATTTAATCGTGATTTACCCCTCCGTTGTCGTACTTCGGACGAAAGGCAGGTCTGTCCTAAGCTATAAATCTTCTGTGGGTCCTCGATAAACATCCCGCTCCCCCTCCCCACACACTTTGCAGTCCACTCAGCTTTCAATGTGCTTGTTTGGTGCTTGTGTGGCTTTTACTAATTTACAAGACTGACAATACATGTTTACATGCATAGTCAATAATATGGAAATATTGTTAAGCTGGTCGTAAATAAATGTCATGCGTTACGATGATTACTGAGAAATAATCTTAATTGCGTTTCAAAATATGAAGCAAACGAATGCATAAACAACACAATTCACGCAACAATGCAATCAATATAATCATAAAATTTGAATCAGTCTCTTAGTCTCTCCTATCTATAATAGTGAGGTTTTTATCAATCCAACGATGGTAGGTCAAGCCAAGTAATGTTAAATGCATGCATCGGCTGTATGCAGAATTGGAATTTCCATCTCACAAAAATAATGAATGTTGATATATATTGCTGGAATGTGGCGTTTAGGAAAATGGATAGAAAGCTCTAGGAGTAGTAGTTGTATGTCTGATTATTTCAAATCAACGAAAAATCTGGCATCTGAATTGTAAAGGATGCTGGGTGATTCCCGTCTCTTGGAGAAGATTCATCTGCCCAGTCTATTTCTGGATGGTTAAAGTCACCAACGATCAACGTATGCGACCTGCTGAATGACATGCTTGGTAAAAGGCTGTTTAGTACGTTATTGTTATCAGAGGAGCTGTTAGGTGATCTGTAAATTACCCCTATGAGAAGGCTATCTTTGCCTTTTAGAGTAAGTTCGCACCACACTGATTCTCTAGCTGATTGATGCTCTGCAGATAAACTGAAATTCAACAGGTACAATTTTCCCCCCGTGATTTTTAGGGAGTGTTTCTGTAATACAAATAATGTCTATACACTCGTTTGCGATCACAGCTAACAGTTCACTTTTCTTGTTCAAAACGGAATCCGAGTTCGTGTAAACTTTTTGTCCACTTTCACTTTGATCATTTGATGTAGGCTATGCGGTTACTTCCTACATTATTTACAGGCCTTGATCTACGGACATCATTTCTACTAATTACTTGTCCTCCATCTCCTCCGACTGTCCGCGAGCAGCCGGTGTTGTCTTGGCAGCTTGGAAGTGATTGACCTGATTTTCCGTGCCTTTCCGCCTGATTCTCTCCTGCCACTTTTTGCGAAAAACCAATCTTTCTTTGGTGGAATCTTTCTTTACAAAAACTGACTTGTAATCAGCGGATTCTTTCTCGCTGTTTTCAGCACGCTCCAGACCTGAGCAGAATCCTTTACAGTCACCAGCAAAGGTCTGAAGGTGTTGACAGCAGCGTCCTTCGAGCGTAGCCTCTTGCAAGATATAACATCAATCGATGTGTTGAGTACCTTGCTGCAACAGTCTACAACAAAGGCCGAGTCATCCATCACTCGTTCCTTCGCATCAGATGCGTTAATTTCAGGAATCCCAAACCAGACCAGGTTCGGATTCCTGAAAACATGGCTCTGGTAGACAGATTAGAACTAAGGATGACCAAGTCCAGGCAAGAGGTGGTAACACATCGATTGTCTATGTAAGTGGGGAAGCTACCATCATTCAAGAGACAAATGGGGATTGGGGAGGGCTTCAAGAGCTGCTTCTATGGATTTCCCTGTAAAATATCTTCAGATTGTCATTGCTGCTTGGTCTTGTACTGAATTCTTTTTCTTTTACGTAACTCTATAGGAAGAAAACCAAAGGCGATTCATTAATTCTTTCTTCAATCATGGCAATGTTTTCTTCTGATCTTTTAGTTCTTTACCGTCTAGAATGACCTTTATTTTGATTCAGGATCGTTCCTTTATCTTTCCACTGACGTATCCACTTCTTGATTGTGTTGAGACTAACTTCTTGTCTGTATTTGGTGGAATAACCTCTCTTTATTTTGGTTAAAGAAGTTTTCAGATAAAATTGTTCGACAATGAAAACTCGTTGCTCAGAATTTAGCTGCATTGTAGGGGAATGTTGATCTTAAAAAATAATGAGTTTTAAATATGAAATATATAGAGAACTTTGGTAACATGGATATCAAATAAAACTTGAAGTTATACTCTTTCATGTGGTTTTTATTTCATCTTTCTACGTTTAATACTTTTCGAGTTATAAGCCTTTACTTTTAGCAATTTTTTTTGGTCACCCTGTTAATGTACAAATAAAAGACTGATTCTTTATATGTATGTAGTATTGTAAGCCCATTCCGTACTACTGACAGGCATGCAACCTTTCTTTGAGCCTAGTCATAGAATTAGAAGCACTTCGTCTTGTATGTCCCTGCGAGGTGGTCTGAGCTACTTAGGCTGCAGAGCACGACTCTAAGGTATGAGTTGGACGAGGTTAACTATTGCTTTCTATATTTGTTATTTGTGAAGGTTATATCGTGCTATCGTGCTAATATAGTCAGATTATTTATTCATTGGTGTTAATTGTAAGTATTGTTGTCCATCCTCTAGGGCACAGCGGAGTCCTTCTCCTCTCGCGACGCCTCTCATTACGTCGCTACTCTCATTATTGCTCTCAGATAACTCTTATGCGCCGCTCTTCTTAATAGTTAAGATAATTAGACTTGTAAAGATCTTTTGCTTATTGAACCTTGAGATAACAATCTCACAATGTATATGTGGATAATTTTTGAGATTGGTAGATTAAAGTAGACATCCGTGTAGGGAAGGTAAAACATAAGAAAACCTGTAACTTTTATTTACTGTATCTAACCCGTACTAGTTCGGTTAGGTTAATTGCAATAAAGTTGCATGGATATATTTTGAAAATGCTTTATTATCATTAAATGTTTATGAGTAAATCCCAATAGCAGAACAATAAATATTTAGAGATTTCCAATAATTTTGGCCATTGTAGCGGCTAATGTAGCGGCGCTACATTTTACTGTAGCGGTAGCAGTAGCGCTCGCTACAATCTAGTGGGTGTAGCGGTAGCGGTAGCGCCCGCTACATTAACACGTTGACTACGTATTGGTACATATGCGTACCACGAAATGTATTTCTCCTGGTACATAATT